GGTCGTTTTCTCAATGTAAGAATATCTAATGTCTGCAGGTTTGATTATAAAGGAAATTTCAGTTTGCTCAATAATACCAAGCCTTTTCTCATAACCAGTAAAATGTGCAATGTCAGCTATATCAGCTGAGGTTACGTATGTTAGCAGGAGACAAACCAAATCTGTATATAGATACTGAGATCAAAGACATACACGTATAAATGGTTACTCAAAGGAAAATTCATTATCTACCACCAGTTATCACTAATTAACTCTTATCTATTTTGACCTTTTTTAACACATTTCTTTTTGTAAAAAAATGACTAGAGATTCACGATAAAAACATGGGTTATTCTGTTATGAAAATTCAAAGCATGTGTGTCTGTGTAGTAGGACAAAATCCAAGAAATTGTTCTAAATATAATAGCCAGGGCCAAGCGGGTAACCACACTGTTACTAACCACATTGCATTGTGTTTAATGGAATTCACAAGTACTTACTGGAAATATGTGGAGTAAAGGACAAACGGGCTGTGCAGCAGCTATTCAATAGGCCACAAACACATACTGCCTACAAGAATTTTCTTTTCCCAGTTTTTTAAAACTACATTGCAGCTTCTTGTGGTTAGCCTACATTGGCTCAGTATTAACAAAAAAATATCATATAAATGGACTTGTGGCTTCGGATATTTGCAATACAAATACTGCATCTCCGCTTTGGGATTTCCATCTGTTCCACAGGATTTAAAGACCACCTCATCTCACCCTCTCTTGGCTCAGTTTTAGAAGCATTCATCCCTTTATTTAATATTTGAAGTGACTAACAGACAGGGGATTAAGACCATTTAGAGAAACACCTCTATGGCTCAGCAGCACATCTTCTAATCCCTATCCATTCATTTCAGTGTGTCTTTAAACCAACAAGCAGTTTAACATAATCTGCTTTAAACCTGTCTGTTCTCTCCTATTCACGGTTGCATTTACATAGCAATCATTTTTGCCTGAATGGTTTGTCGAACAAGAGAGACTATGTGTATAAGAGTCGAGTTATAGATGTTAGAGTTGTGTGCAAGAGTAACAGGAATAGCTCCTTTTTTCTATATTCAATTTGTACTCAGCCTAAAGCGAACATACAGAGTGATGAAATAAGGATTACAAGTATTATTTCATTTGTCTTAATGTTATCTGCAGATAAGACAACCACTTCACTGTGTTAGGCTTCAATAGATAAAATAACTACGAATGGAGGCAAGTAAAGAGCACATGAAAACTACTTTACATGAACTATGATACATGAGGAGTGGAAAATTTAGACTGATAATTAGGGATGGAGTTAAACGGTCACAAATGAACATTTTCACCCTATATTGCAGATAACAATTCCTGCATCAAGTTCCCTGAAAATGTTTTTTCTGCTGCTCACAAACACGCCCACCAACTTTAATCTGTGAGCAAGTAAATTCAACAGGGAGAACACAGCGTGGGAGGAACAGCACGATGAAGTGAAGAGAGAAAGTGTGTAAGGTACATCTCTGACCGCTGATATCTGTTTGATTTCCCTCTGAAATGCAGTTTGAGAATTCTGTCTACACTTGTATGTCACAGCAGAATGAGACAGTGAAATTGGATCATTTATATCACTGCAAGTAGCAAAATAAGACAACTGAGTCTTTACTAAATACGTGGTCAAAGAACAGGCATCTTTTGATCACGACATTCTCTACAGACAACAGACCTGACAAAGCTCACTTGTCATTAGGGAAGTTTGAGGAAATGATTCCTTTCTTTCACAGATGAGTTCACACTATAGGTCAGTGTGACTACACTGCTTCACATTAAAAAACAAAGCAAGCATCTGTAAATACTGTCTAATATTTTCAATGTCAGTTTAATTCTTATAGTCATCATATACACACATTGCCACTAAATACTGATGAGACAGTGCTGTCAGGTCAGTATGGTCTCATAAGTACAAGAAAAAAAAGCACCGGACTTGAAGAACTGTGGGGCAGAGGCACTGATATGTTCAGATCAGAAATTGAACAGAAAGTAAACCAGTCTATTATAAATCCACAATACGTACTCCATTTAAATTTATAAGTGGCTTTATATATTACATGAATTCTGCCCTTTTTACACCTTATTTTCCCCTCTGCTTGTTTATACAGACCTAATTGAGTAATTTTAGTGCATTTAAATGACTCCCCTCCATCCCCTGACGGCCGTGCACTGAAGCAGCACCAACACCACACCCTGCTGCTATCAAACGTAAACGTGTAAGGGTCTCCCCCTCGGTTAAACAAGTGATTCGCCATGATATGAGAATCTGTGTCAAAAGTATAACAATGCCACACAATGAACAGGTTTTAGTATAGTTTCTGCATGGCATGTACTTTGTTTGAACTTGTCATCTCTATTAACAGCCTGAGCTTCCATACATCTCTGGGATTTTCAGTTTGAGATGCTGGGAATGATGCAATGACCGGTTTTCTTTTAAAGCTCAACGGACAGTGATGACCTAACACTGTAAATGGCCCTCAGTGCTCCTTTTAAAGGATGCTCTATCCAAAATTAAATGTAACCCAGCCGGCAATTTATTTGCTCAGCCCCTTAGGAGAGATTTATGCACTGTTAATGCTGCATGTCAGATCATGATGGTCACAGAAACAAACATAGATACAAAGGTGTGTGTTGACCCGTTTAAACTTAATGAAAGCCTAATGACAGAGTGGAAATGGCTTTTACAGCGTGTTATAGTCATTTTGAAACCACTCACTGTATCACTTTACAACCACCATAAAATCACTGAGGAACAGGCGTGGTTCTGGGAGGAGAAGAAAAACTGAGCTAAGCATCAATAATCCCACCCTGTAATTGTGATGTCATAAATAGTTGAATTACTTTTGATAGCATTATTTTGTTTTGAATTTACCCCTCCGGTTATCTGGCTAACACAATGTTTTTATATCGTCTAGCATTTCAGAAGGATTGATGTTCTGTTACTTTGCCTCAAGGCACACAGAGCGTTAAGAGCAAACCACAAATTACGGGTTCAAATTCCAGTAATAAAATGAAGTCAATTGAAGAGATTTGTGGGTACATTAAATTTTGTTGGAACAATGTGAAACACATACATGCAAAACTATGAATATATCTTTGTTACACGTGAAATCAAAGTGAAATCACTGACAGAGTGGAATTTTTAAAATGGCATGTTAAGGTAGCAAAGAAAACAGAGGAGCAATTTCCTGAGTGGGAGGTGAAAGAGAGCAAGATGTCCCACCTGCTATGTGGGATCTTTCCCTGCCTACTTTTGTGATTCATAAATCAACTTAGAAAATACAGAGAATCACAATCTGCAGCCACCCACCAACGTTTTTTGTCCCCCACAATGACTGGCCCCTGGCTGTCTATCCATCTGTCGCACAATATATCCGAGGTGGAGTCGGTTACATCTTTCACAAACTGTGTTCATCTGAGAGGCATAGAAGAATTCATTTTTCTAAAAGTTATGAATGACGGGTGACATGTCCCCGCCTCTCGCCTGCTGTCAGCAGGGATTGGATAGATAGAAAATGGATGGATGGAAAAAGTTATGAATCTAATTTATCATTTTGCTTCATGCACAAGCCCATGTAATGGATGGTAGTACTGCTTCTGTGCTGTTCTGGTTCTTAGCTGCACTATTCGTAACAGAACAGCTTTACATCAGGGAACGCTGACTGTGGTGCTGCTTGGTTGGCTGGCTGACACGGTTTGTTGACAAAAATGGTTTTCTGCATCCCTTACTGTCTCCTCTGTGGTTGAGCTTGTGTCTGGAAACTAGACAGCAACATTTTTCTTTTCAGGTTGGGTAATTTTTATGTTTTTCTTTTTGCGTGAATCTCTTTGGCTTAGTAATAAATTTCCATCCTGTTACCCTGTCTGTGCCTTTAACATCAAATGTATTGTTTTGTAAGGCGACCCCTTTCACTCTAAAATGGCTGTGAACTCTTGCACTGAGGTTAATAATACACCTTGGATAATAATGATGAATAAGAACAAAAAACATAGTTTACATTATATAGAATGTCCTACTACCAATTTAGAAACTGTGAATTCTAAATGGTAACAAGAAAAACCTAGCGAAAAGGCTTAAGTTTTCTGACCAAAACACCCACATTTTAACAGTAGCTCGATAAGCTACAAAGTAGTCACATCCCTGTCATGAGCCAAAATAATTAGAATTGCATGCTGTGATACTCACGGACAAAAGATCTTAAAAGATTATCAACTATCAGCTGCACATCCCGTGAACATCTAACCCCCTTGTTAAGGTTTATTCACTTCTGTTATATTTAGTAACACTTTGTGTAGAGCCATCAACACTGGTTTGCAAACGTAAGGTTCAGGTCATTTCATTTACCCATTTAAAACTAACTTGGTTTTTCTCAGAGTTAAAAGGACCTCACACTAATAAAATAGCTGCACATGTTCCCATGGCAAATGACAACTGTTCCTCCAGCCAGGAATAGTACAAGCTAATAAAAACTTTCAGTCTCAATTCCCAGCCCTGTTAACTGTTGTTTTCTGTTTACTCCAATTTGAATAACTTATAAGTTCAAGAAATACCTTATAGGCACTGTGTATATGAGGGATTATATGCCAGTGGTCTGAAGATTAATTGGGAGAGTCTTAAAAACAAGTCAGTGGCAGAACACGTGAGAGAAGAAAAAAGAAGAGAGCAGAGTCCCTGTTATAGTCCTTGTTTAGGGCCAAATAGCAAGGTGACACCAGGGGCAGGAACCTGACCTACAAACCGCCTGTGAACCCTACACCTGCATTAACACATGAGCACACACTGATACAAAGACACACGCTGGTCCTGATATACAAATAGGAACTCACCCACAAACTTATTCACACATCAATGCCTGTGACACTGGCTCTTTTAGGCCTACCAAAAGGCCACCATTTGCCCAGCTGATAACACCATCTGGTAGGCAAAGCACACTGGTTCTTTGTAAGTGTTCTTCCTCATAGACTTTACTAAACAATTAGATGGATTCTGCCAGGCATTGAAACAAGTTTTTCCTGAGGACTTCAAAGGACAGCAGTGGGAGGAAGGTTAGAGGTGAGGGCTAGAATGACAGGAGAGCAAAGTAAGTGATGTGATTAAACCAGGCCCTCGGCAGCAAAGAAAGCAGTAAATTAGAAGAAATTTCAGCCCAAAGAAGAAAAAGGACACATTGAGCAGTGAACGGGGTTATTAAATATGGATCTGTGTAAACAGACCAAATGAGAAACAACTCACTTTAAACAAATGAGTTGGTTTTTTGGTTTTCTGTTACATATTAAACAAATATGTACATATGTACATATATATTTATATATATATATATATATATATATATATGAAATAACACAATTTCCTTAGCCCTATCACAACATAAAGCAGGCCTGTGGAAATGTGCAAAATGCGCTATTTTTGGGTAATAGAATTGAATAAGGTGGTTTCCTTGATAGGAATTAAATTGTCGCCATGCCTTTGGGTAAGAAAACTCTCTCTGATAGTCTGTCCACTGTGTATACCTACGGGAAGGTAGTTATGACTACAGAGAGCTAGCAAATAACTCAATGTGTCATACACGAGCACTACAAAAGCATGCAAAACCTCTCAAGACAACATGGCCATGTGATGAGACTGAAGACACCCACAATTGAAAAGAGACGAGTTTACCATCCAATTACATGCTGCATACAGCAGCATTTATAATTCAGACATTGACTTGGAAGCTGTGTGGCCAACATTTGATGCCTTTTGTCTAGATTTGGAGAGTGGGATCTGAGTAGCTCAGAGTTACCTCTCTAAAGAAACGCATGAAATGACAGAGGACATTCTATCTGCTAATAGCCCAAACTGTAGGGAGTAAGTGCTTGTGTTTTCTATTTAGCAACATAAATTTCCCCCTTTGAGGGAGGAATAAAGGAATATCTTATCTTAAATGTGGGTTCATTAAGCAAACACCCTAAATTAATAAGCAGTACCTGTTTCTGCAAAAGCAGAGCATGACGAAAAGTTTTAAATAATATAAGTGACTGTCAACTTTAATTGGTATTCTACGATAGAACTTAGTACATCTTTTCTGATCTAATGCAGAATACCGTATATAACACAGAATGTGGACGTCAACAAAGTAAGAGAATACGGTGGGGCCATTGAAGGCTCCCAGAGATAACAAAGTTAGGCAGGGGTCGAGTTAGATGGGGGAGGTGATCGGTGCAAAGCTGGTGATGGCGGATGATGAGGGTCCACATGGATGAGTGGCGCAGTGGGATAAGAGCGTGGGGAGTTCATGCCCCTGCCAGGCCCTTTTCGCACTGCATAAACAAAGAGATTACAGTGAGAAGGGGCTCCGTGCTGCTAACAAGCAGGGATACTGCACACATTCATTTTAGCACAGAGGCGCACACGCGCACACACACACACACACACACACAGTCATATTTAGGCATCATGCTCCCAAACACACACACACACACTTTAAGACTTAAATGGACACACATACACGCGCAAGCCCTAGCTAAAAAATGCGCTCTCACAAAGACTACATGAAGACACAAAAAAGACTGACACACAACTAACAAGAAGCATCACAACATAGTGGCGCCACCTGTCTCCTCTTCACCAATTAATGAGCTCCAGGCTCCCGGGTTGCTACAACGGGATGGCAATTAGCAGGGGCAAAAAGGGGGAGTCATGAAATGAGGGGGAAAAACAGATGACGAGAGATAGAGAGGGGCAGAGGGAAAGAGAGAGATAAAAACAGGAAAAAAGAGACTATTGAAAATCTGAGCAGGGTGGGGCACAATGACAGTGCAGAGTTGGTTTACACAATAAAATAAATCCGAAATATTTGTGTAGTTTACCACAATTCTGCTGATACTTTAAAACAAGAGCTTATTTCTAACTGTGTGTTTAAGAGATCCATCCAAAAAACAGAGAGGAGAATATTTATATGCATTTTTTTCATTTCTCTGGCCAAACAACTAGAATAAATACTTGTTTCACAGATGGATGGGGTGATATATTATGGTAAGTATGAGATTTTAAAAAGGAAATTTCATAACACATGTTTAATTTAGGTGTCACGTACCTAAATTAAATTTTCAGAGCTAGTTTAGGTAATTGCACTTCCTGCATTGTATCCTATGACCGAGTATGATTATCGCAAAATGCGCTCTACCAAATGGTTCAGCAGGATGGGTTAATGATGCAAACTGTGAAACAAATGCATGTGAAGGGCAATTTCCAGGGGAGTGAATGAAAGAGTCAACTGTGACTTGTTAAAAGAAACTGTAGCAGTTTCACTTAGCTATGCAGCCTATTTCAATGTTCTCTTATTTCCACTGTGATCCATTATGAAACTTTTTGCATCAATCTTCTTTCTTCTGTCATTCAGTCATACTGATTCCTATTTCTTTTTCGAAAATAAATGTGCACACATTTCTTTTGTTCACAACCTGAAAACAGGCAGTCATTCATACTGCCTCTCGACCCCCGTGACCTTTGAACCCTGAGACCTAAATACGGAACAAGAACTGAGGGACTGGTCATGCATTTGCCGGAGGTCACTGCACACAACATACATACAGAGAAAGTTACAGACATCTCCTTCTTTCCTGTTTTATAGACAGAAGATAACTGGGAGACAATCCAGACCCTTCAAAGAAATATGTAACTTTTGCAAGCGAAATAAAGATTGATAACAAACACCAGAGCACACGTGCAAACACAGAACTGGTATTCACAATTTAGGTATGTTTTCTCAAATGAGTTGAACACATATGCACCGAAGCATGATGTAACATAAGGATGACAGGAAACTCAAAACCGTAGACAGACAAACACAGAGGCACATTTACATCTGCTTAATCTATCCGTCCCCGGTCTACAGACACATACACAGTGGGCAGGTGTGGGGTCAGAGGTAGGGGCAGTGGTGTCGGTCCACCTCCCAAATATAGAGATTCCACTATATGGGGAATCCTAAGTTCACTGCTGGTTCTCACATGACCACCACAGCGCTTTTATGTGTAGAGAAAAGCATATATGTTAGAGACCCAAAATATGTCTACTGTAGAAATATAATCAAGCAAACTGATGTATATCACATAACACTACAAGTACATATACAAATGCTACACATTGTTATCTTAACATATTCAGATGTCTATGATGCTGCTACCTGAAAGCATTCATTCTCATTTCTTCTCTTCCCTACCCCCCAAACCATTCATCTATATCAGCTTCTCTTCATGTTTCTATTGTATTGTTTGTAATTCTTTCCTAAATCTCACCTCCTCCTCGTCTCTCTCTTGGAAAACACAGCACACAGTGTCCATTCAGCGTGTAACAGAGGTCCTCTTCTAAGGGTGAAACATAAGACTGAAACTTTGGCCTCTCAGGATGACCTCTGCTCTATGCACTAACATGTCTGGCACATAGAAACAAGTCTACACACGTGTGTGTGTGTGTATCTGTGTGTGCCGAACGTATTCAGCATACATAGAAGCAGCAATTAAATAAATACATTAGCTTCTAGCTAGGTAGATATTTTGTACTTGACTTGAAAAACTCATAACTAAAGTTCTAGTAAGGCAATATACCGAATTAAAATAAGGACAGATAAACTACCAAGAGACAAAGATTCACAGAATAAACATCTGCCATGAACCACATGTGTTTAACAACTGGTAGCTTTTCATGTTACTTTATAAGTAAGCTGTCTACAGCTGTTGTAATCCTGCTGGAAAGCATTTTCGGGAACTGAAGCAAATAGAACAGCAAAGAACTGCAAACACAAGTACGTACCAAATGTCGTGGTTGATCTCGCTACCTCAACCGGTGACTCTTACGTTTTAGTTGAATGTCTGCAAAACTAGACAGTCACTGGCTGACTTTCCACTTTCCACATTTTTAATTAAACACACAAAACAAAACTGCCTGTGTCAAGCAAACTTAAGCTGCTAAATCAAATCTTCTATGACTAGAGGCGCATGCTATACTAACAAATCCTTAATGTGATTGTATGTGCATGCGTACATGCATGTATGCAGACATTCGTCAGAGTGACAGACTGCACTCAGAGTGCCGTGAGGATAGTCCTCCACATTCCTTTATCAAATCAGATTTTCCTATTGAGTCCACATGTTCTCAGTTCATATGTGAGTACAGGATAAAAGTTGCCTCTCATCCCACCCAGGTCTTGAAATGATTGTTAAAAACCTTTTTTTCTTCCTGGAATTCCAGCCCATTGCATCAATTCTTGTTTTACCTTTGTTAAGCACATGACAGAAGCTGCAAGAATCTGACACAGCATTGAGTTTAGGCAGTCTAATAAAAGGTTTAACTAGTCATATGGTGGCTCTCTTAAAGTCAAATCTAAATGCCACGGCATCTCAGTGCATGACGGATCATCTGTTTGCATGGATTGTTTATATGTGTAATGCAATTTTCAAAGTCACTTCTAAGAAAAATTATAAACAAATGATAATAGGATCTTTAATCACTTCAAAATTAACAAATCAAAGTATGTTTGGCAGATGTTTTATTCTCTGCATAACTCATAACATAAATGCAGCTTGATGTAATTTTTTTTTTATTACTCCTTAAGAAATACAAACAACCACTGAGTGTATCGAGGACAATTTAAGCACCACAACTGACTTAATTGCAAAATTACATCAAAGCCAATCAAAGCATCATCAGAACCTTTAGCCCAAAGCTATGAAACTGCTGGAAACAGGACTTGTAGACCTGGTAAATAAATCATCCATTCAACAGAATACACATGGAGACAGCTTACTGTAGCTCCCTTTTCCTTCCCTCTCAAAATGTTTAATGTAAAAGTAATCTTCTAACTTGAGACAGAAAATCATGACATCACACTTTTCTTCAAAACACAAACTTCCTCCACTAATATTCATCTAAATAGCACTTACTATTCAGTCATAGGGATGAAAATGTGCACTGTATTCAACCGAAACAGGAAGCGATAACTTTTATTTAAGGTCATGTATTGGCCCTACAAGCCTCAAAGTAAAACTGGTAAATACAGAAAGTG